GAGGCTGGGAAATGGAGAAAGAAAGAGAGCTGTAATCTGTAGGTCTACCCCTTCAGTGCCCACTAAATGGTTGGGACAGCCCTGGGCTAGGCTGAACCTGGGACTCTAGGACTCAATCCAGGTCTCTCACGTAGGTGGCAGGAGCCCAATTACTTGAGCTCTCACCACTGTCTCTTAAGGTTTGTATTAGTGGAAGTTGGAAATAGGAGCCAGAGCTGGGAATTGAGCTGAGAGGCACTCCTATATGGGATACAGGTGTCCTGGTTGGTGTATTAACTGCTAGTCCAAATGCCTGCCTTCCTGCTCTGACTTTAAAATATAAGTTCTGGCCATTCACTTCCTCGATGGTCCTGATGAGGTCATTCACCTCATTGATGGTGAATCTCCGACTCTTCATGGATTTGCTGTTGGGATGTCCTGCCAAGCCACGACCCTAGAAGTTCAAAACCAAACTCATCATCTTCCTTCTGAAACCTGTTTCTTTCCAAATTTTATCATTTATTTGATGGCCCCATGTAGATAATTCCTTTGAAACATCTCCTGTGTCTGTTCCTCTCCTCCCCACCCCCATCCGCTGCCATCTGTCCAAATCTTGTCCTTACAGCCTCCCCCGCCCCCGGGCTTGCTAGAAGGGTCAGTCTCCCAGATGGCCCCTGACCTCCATTTCCCCTCACTGTCCTGTTCCCAGACACTTCCACGTGCCGTTCTACAACCTGATCCTGAGGCTGCCTCCCTTCAGCATTTCCCTACAACTTCCTGTTGCTCATGTAGTTGTTACTTTTCCTGCCTCTCTGCCTTGGTAAGCTGCCAGTTCAGCCTGAAGTGGCTTTGCCTTCTGCATGCCTGGCTAGGTTATATACAACTCAGATCACACCTCCTTCATGAACTTTCTTTGGCTACCCCAGTCAGAATTCTTTATCACCTTTTCCCAAAGCGTTTGTTTGATTCTAACTTACTGCATCTTGTTTTAGATGTTGAGCTGCTCTGGGTTCATAGTTGGAGGCAGTGGAAGCCAGTCTCCAGTTGAAGCAGATAAGGACTTTGTTAGATGATACTGAGTAGTTCTCAGCATCTCTGGCAGGATGGAAGAACCAGGCTTGGGGACTACAAGGCCACAAACACGATCCAAAACCATGCTATGGGTGGTGCAGCCCATACCACACTGCCACTGCTGCCTCTGACTTTGGATGTAGCTGCTGCCAGCTTGCCAGAGGGACTACTGCATCATTGTGGCATCTTGTCACTAGTCTAACTTGAGGTCTGAGCTGGTTCTGACTGACATACTTCATCATACTCCGTACCCTTGTTGTAGTCCTGATGAGGCCTGATGTTCTTGAGGTAGGGGGTTTTCCAGATGTGGAAGAGGATCCTCATTTTCAACAGCCAGACAGGGCATTTTCACTGCGATTTGCTTTTCCTGAGTGACCTCTCCCCAACTGTATTATAAGCTCCTCACAGACAGGTCTCTTATTTTTTTCCAATAATTTGTAAATCTTAATTGAAAGGTAGCAAGAGAACTCCTTTCTGCTGGTTCACTTTCCAAATGTCTGCACTGGCCTGGGCTGAGCCATTCAGCAGCAGGGAGCCAGTAACTCAATCCAGGTCTCCATATGGTGGCAGAGACCCAACTACTGTAGCCATTGCCTGCTGCTCCTTGATTATACATTAGCTGGAAGCTGGAATTGGGAGTGTAGCTGGGTCTTGACACAGGTACTCTGATAAGGAATGCATGTTTCCCAACCGGCAGCTTAACTTGTAGTCCAAATGTCTGTCCCAGGAGTTTCATATTCCTTCCAGCTGTGGTCTGCCTAATCGAAAGCCTTGTATGCAACAAGCTTTTAATAAGTAATCATTAAAAAGGCAAAGCAGTGTGAATCAGCCAAGATGTATCGGCAAGTGACATCAAACCTAACTGGCTTAACCTTACGATGTTGTCTCTAATGTGATCATACTTCTATTTTATTTCAATTTTTTATGTAAGTTAATTATCTGTGGAGGATCAAAGCATCTAGCTTGGAGTTGCCTAGAAAAGAATGCCTCTCTTCTTCTTCAGTACAGGGACAGATAGTCCTGAATTAAATGATTGGCTTGTAGAGCAGCTTGTCTCACTAACAATTGATCCAAACAAGTTGAATATTCCTAATAGAATTTAGACTCTTTTCCAAACAGCAAAACAACAATGGCCAAAATTCTCAGCCTATTTGTTTCTCCAGCTGTAACAACTTGATAGTTGTGAGCAAAGTGTCAGTGGTGGTAAAAGATTGGTCTCTAAAAGCTCTTTTCAACCCTAAAATTAAATGTACAATTACAAATATTTTTTGATTATAAAGAAGATAAATGCTTATTATACATTTCTGGAAACTATAAAAATCTTTGAAGAAGAAAATTATAACTCCATCTTTCATACAAACTATTGCAAGATTTTTGGTTTGTTTCTTTACAGTATTCTCTTTTTTAATGGTTGTATTTATTGTTTTATTAACTTGGCTGAGATCATATTGATCTTACATATACTTTTATAGGTTACTGTCTCACTAATATTTTTATCATTAACATCTGAGTTTTAAAAAACAATTAAAAATATTATATAAAATTTGAAGTTAAAGAAAGTCATCTTTTATTAAGAAATTTATACTGTGAAAAATGCTTCTGCATATTCTTGGAAGTAGCTGTGGCCCAAAATACCAGTTTAGGGGTGGGCATTTGGTACAGTGGTTAAGTAGCTGCTTGGGATGCCTGCGTCCCCTGTTGGAGTGCATGGTTCAAGTCCTGGCTACTCCAGTTCTTGTCTAACTTCCTGCTAATGCATACCTGGGAGGTAGCAGATGATGACTCAGTTGCTTTAGCCCCTGCCATCCATAAGGGGGATCCAAACAGAGTTCTGTACTCCTGGCTTTGGCCTGGTCGAGCCATAGCTATTGTAGACATTTGGGGAAAGAACCAGCAGGTGGAAGATCTGTCTCTCTGCCTTTCAAAAACTAGCCACTGTGATGTTTAGCTGCAGTCAGTGTGTATAATCTTTTGTAATTTTTGTTTTCTGGTCTGATGGGCTCATAGCAGTTGCCACAACATCAAGTAGATAAATGGTTTCCATTTCTCCTGGGATTGCATAAGAGCACCAGGGTGCTATTGAGAAGCTGTCTGGTTGTCTCTGCAGGTGTGAGGCCTGCCAGTGTCCAATTCCCAAGCTGGTGAGGGTTTATTCTTTCATATTGTAGTGTAGACCGTGTAGGGATGGTCTCTTGACCTCTGCCCTGAGGAGGTAAAGGTAATGACCCAGTTCTGCCCTATGCAGTTTGCACTCTAGGCAGAGCAGTGTGCAAACAAACAGAATCCAAACTGCAGTGATAGCCCCACTGAGAAGCTGACTAATCAGCCAGTTTGAAAAGTGCTGCATGGAGGAGACTGTGTTTGAGCTAAGCTTTTCAGCTTATGAGCTTCCAACTTAAAACAATCTTCTCCTGTGGCGCTGGCATCCTATATGGGCACTGGTTCTAGTCCTGGCTGCTCCTTTTCCAATCCAGCTCTCTGCTAATGCCTGGGAAAGCAGTAGAAGGTGGCCCAAGTGCTTGGACCCCTGCACCCAAATGGGAAACCCAGAAGAAGCTCCTGGCTTTTAATCGGCACAGTTCCAGCCATTGTGGCCATTTGTGGTATCCAGCAGATGGAAGACTCTCTCTCTCTCCCTCTCACTGGCTGTGATTTTACTTCTCGAATAAGTAAAATCTTGAAAACCCAGAAAAATGACATCAAAAGATAATTTAACAATCTTATCTGGCCTCTCCTTTTTTATTTATTGTCATCAGAACTGCCTAGGATAGTTTCTGCCATTTGTGTCATAATTTGGATGAGCTGGGCAGAGGCATGATGAGATCTGGCCTGCATGTCCTGGTCAGAGGCTCCAGAGTGGGTGGAGGTTGCTGTGATGCAGGAAATTCAGCCACAAAGCATAGGTCCCTAGCCCTTGAGTCAGTAGGGCAGTGGAGTTATCTCTGGGGTAGGGAAATGACAAAAGCCGACAGTATCTCAGGTCCCAGACAAGAAGGTTGAGGCTTAAGTACTGGCCAGAACCTGTTGCTGGAGCCAGCATTGCTGAGTGGTCTCTTGAGAGACCCACAGGGACCCAGGGTGGGTCCTTGCCATCACGCAGTTCCTCGCTTTCTCACAGTGCAGGCTGGGTGTGGTCTGGAACCCAGTGGGGAAGATCAGGCTCCTGAGCCTTAATGTGGGGGAATGGCTTCATTCAGAGCCACCTGCAGAGGCAGTGAGTGCTTGGCATTGTCGCCATCAGCACTGTCTTAAGTAGAAAGGTAGGAGAAAGGATGGGGTAGCATGACATTTCAGTTGGTCGGTTTTCTACTCTCAGAGTTACCATATTAAGTGGAAGTTTTATTTCAGAAAACCCTCAGTCAGATAAAAGATACTGTAAATAGTATTTTTCTTGTGTCTTTATAAAAAAATCTGAGTTTAATATCTTTAAGATTTTATTTTTTTGAGAGGTAGTTACAGAGGGAACGATGGAAAGGTCTTCCATCCGCTGGTTCACTCCCCACATGGCCTCAATAGCTGGAGCTGGGTCATTCCAAAGCCAGGAGCCAGAAGCTTCTTCCAGGTCTCCCATGTCAGTGCAGGTGCCCAAACACTTGGACCATCTTCAATTGCTTTCCCAGGCCATAGCAGAGAGCTGGATCAGAAGAGGAGCAGCCAGAACACAAAATGGTGCCCATGTGGGATTTTGGCGCCGCCAAGTGGAGGCTTAGCCTACTACGCCATAGTGCCAACCCCTGAGTTTGATAACTGATATCTGCAAATATTCTAGCGATGTTGTTCACTGGTAGCTGTTTGAATATGGAAAATGGCTTGGAAAATGCTGGATTCTGAGCAGGTTTTCATACAGCCTTTTAAGATGTAGTTGTTTTTGATTGATGACTGAGTTTTGATTATAATTGCTTAGAATTTTGGTTATGGCAATGCAAATTTGTTTAAACTTTCTTCCCTAGATGATCCCCTATGTTGGCACCATTCCTGAGCAGTTGGAGCCTGGAACGTTGATTGTGATACGTGGACATGTTCCTTTTGATGTGGACAGGTAAAACCATTGGTAGATGGTTTGTGAATGCACTGTTTGTGATTGTGGAACAGCAACAACAAAATAATGTGGAGGAGGCCACTGGGACTCTTGGAGGCCCGTGCTTTCATCAGCAGCTCTGTTCAGGGTGCTGAGGACAAGGGAATGAATGACTGTAGAAAGGTTATAGGGATCCTTTATTGAGTTGTTTTCTATATCTGAATTGTGGTCAGCTAATAGGGATGGTCTAATACAGTCTAACATTCTCCACAGTATCTCTGAAGATTTATTTTAGAGGCCAGCATTATGGCATAGCAGGTAAAATTGTCACTTGTGGTGCCAGCATCCCATACAGGCACCAGTTTGAGTCCCAGCTACTCCACTTCTGATCTAGCTCCCTGCTAATGGCCTGAAAAAGCAGCAGAAGATAGCTCAAGTCCTTGGGCCCCTGCACCTGTGTGGGAGACCTGGAAGAAGCTCCTGACTTTGGCCTGGCCTGGCCCGGCCCAGCCCTGGCCGTTGCAGCCATTTGGGCAATGAGCCAGTGTACGCTTGTTAAATGAAATATGACGATCAAGTCTCAAGGAGGTGGCCCAGATCTTTTCTGTCAACTCCATCACATTACTGGAGGAGTGGGCTTCCTCCAGCTCTCCACTGCTCTCCCCAGGGTCGAGGGCCGCCATCTCACAATCCTCAGCAACTAGGACACCTGCCCTTAGTGCTGTGTTCTGGTAGCGGGATGGCTGCATGTGGTGGTGGGGGAGAAGCCAGAGTAGACATAAGGCAGGTGTGTACTGATTTTTAAGGCAATATGCATCTATTGGGAGCACTTTGACTATAAAGGCAGCCCTACCTGCAAAAAAACGGTGGAAAAAGTGGGTTCTTGTTCTGGTGGAGATTTGGACCCACTTGAGACGCAGAAGAAGGGAAGATGAGACAGCTAGGCCTTTAGTGAAAGAATAGAGGAGGGAGCCTTGTAAGTCACTGGGCGTGGAGTGCAGTGCTTGGTGGGCCTCCTTTCTGAGTGCTTGCATGTGTCTTTCCCCACATAGATTCCAAGTGGATTTACAGTGTGGCAGCAGCGTGAAACCTCGAGCCGATGTGGCCTTTCATTTCAATCCTCGTTTCAAAAGGACCAGCTGCATCGTATGCAATACTCTGATGAATGAAAAATGGGGATGGGAAGAGATCACCTACGACATGCCTTTCAATAGAGAAAAATCTTTTGAAATTGTGATCATGGTGCTGAAGGAAAAATTCCAGGTAGGTTTTGGGGAAGGACAAGTTGAATCCACGCTGGTGAGAATGAGCACGCAGGTGGGCTTTTCACTTTTGTTTATTACATTTGAGAAATAGTTTGGCTTTGTCATTTTTCTCTGTAGTAGGACTGGGCCTAACCATGAGGTAGGACGTAACTGCTCTGTCCAGCCAGCCGTTGCCATGTAGTAAAACAGGCCCGGTGTGGCTAGATCTTTTCATTGGATCATACGTCTGCTGGCAGGGCTGAATTCTGAATTGACAAAGGAATATGTTAATTGTGGGCAAGTAAATTATGATCACCACCACTCGAAGTGTGGAGGATCTGGAACTGACAGACGGGGAACCCCAGTGTAGAAACCAGAAGGGATTGGTAAAGTTAAGTTCTGACCCACATAGTTCTATGACATCACGACAGCTTAGATCCATAGGGGATCTTAGAAGTCCTTCATGTAGAAAGTTCTATCACTAGCTCTGTGGAATGTTTTACGCACCTGGGGTGTATAGGTGAGGCAGAATTTGTCCTAGAGGCTCTCACACCTGCTGGCCCTCAAGCCCAGCTTTCCCAGGCTGGAGATTCACACTGATTCCAGCCAGGACTCACGTGTCTGGTGAGGATTCCTTTGTCCTGAAGGACACTGTTTGCATTGGAAAATGTCCCTTAAGTCTCGTCAGCTCCATTCACCCGTCCTGTCTGTGGGCTTTTGAGCAATTGTGCCTGTATCATTCTTTTTAACAGTTTACTGTTAAACACTGTTTAACAGTGTACTGGTGTTATTGTGTTTGTGGTTTGCTGATGGGATTTTAAGCTCCTTGAGTCAGACACCTTTTGTTTGTTGCTGTGCTTTCTGCACAAAACTTAACATGGCACCGGGTACTGGGGAGGAAGAGAAGAGGAGCCGGGCATACTGACCAAAAACTTGCAGAAGCTACTTGGTCATCTCCTTGTAATCGTTGCCCTTGAGGTAGAGACTGTTCCTGTCTACAGATGATAAAACCAACCCTCAAATAGGTTGGGTAACTTGCCCATGTTGATCCATCTAGTAAATCCAATGAATATTCATGGGGTGCCTACCATGTAGGTGACTATCTCAGAGTGTGGTCCTCTAGGAAACTGGAGAACAGGCAGGGTGGATCTTTAACCTGAGCTCACAAAGGCCTCAGGGCACCTGTGCAGGGACTGATGGGGGATCTTTGAACCCGGATGTCTCAGGTATACTTGTGGGTGCACACATGGATATGTACATATATTCAGAAATGCTTAGTCTGTCTGGGGAAGAGTGGTCTATGACCTCTACTCAGATCAAGAGCCCAGAAGTTAAGAAATAGTGTTGTGGTTGCTTTCAAACACAGTTTGGTCAGATGTGTATTTAGAATCATGGAAGGAAGGTATAAAGCTAAACTCAAGAGAACATTTACTTTTGGATAAGAATTTATTAACTTACTTTTTTTTTTTTTTTTGGTGGGGGGTGTCTTCTATGCGCATCTAGGTGGCTGTAAATGGAAAACACATTCTCCTCTATGCCCACAGGATAAGTCTGGAGAAAATAGACACTCTGGGCATTTATGGCAAAGTGAATATTCACTCAATTGGTTTTAGCTTCAGCTCGGTGAGTGCCCTTCCATAATTTGGGGTATATGCTTTTAATTTGAGAGGTAGAGAGACAGAGAGATAAAGAAAGTGAGCTCTACTCTGCTGTTTGACTCTCCAAATGCCTATCATGGCTAGGTCTGGGACAAAGCCTAGATCCAGGAATTCAACCCAAGTCTCCCACATGGCAGCAGGAACCCAATCACTTGAGCCGTCACCGCTACCTCCCAGGGTCTTTATTTGCAGGAAGCTGGAGTCAGGAGCAGAGCTGAGTATTGCACTCAGGTACCCTGATATGGGACATAGGTGTCTTAACTGTTAGGCCAAATGCCTATCCCTAGGGTGTTTTTTTTTTTTTTTTTTTTTTTGGGTGGGTGGGTGGGGTGATAGTTTCTGACAAACTGGGAGAAATTAAATTAACATCTACTGAGATAAGAATAATATAAATACTTCCTTTATTAGAGTAGTAGTTTCTTGGAGGTGATTTTTTGCGAGTAGTAGAATGTTACTATTGACCAGGGCTTTATGATTTCAGATCTACTATGGTTCTAGCAAAACAAGCACTCTTTTTAGTTAGCTGGGGCATTTCCTTTACATGAAGTATTTTTTGTAAGATCCCTTATTGGAAGTGAAATATCTGAGTCAAAGGATATTTACATTGTAAGTTTTGATAGATATTTTTGCCTTACCTTCCAAAAAGATGAAAAGAATTGGCATTCTCAACACCTGTGCCTGTCTGCACACATTCTTGTTGACATCAGATAGTACTCTCTTTAATGTTCACCCAATTGACAGGCGTGTTAAGAGCATTTTTGGAGCACAATTTTCAAGCATGTTTTCATATTTACTACCTTTAATAATTTTTTGATATGTTGAACAGGTCATATTTAGAAAAGATGTTCTGATGGATGTTAAAAATGATCTTTTCTTCAGGTTTTACAAAGTACCCAAGCATCCACTGTGGAGCTGACAGCGATAAGTAGAGAAAATGTAAATATTAAATCTTTTAACCACCTGTATGGAAGTGTTCTTTTAGTTGCAATGTAAATCAGGTGGCAGAAAGGCTGTTTTTTTTAATATTATGATTTCATTTTACTTAAAATTTTAAAAAACTTACTTACTTGAAAGGCAGAGAGATAGAGAACTCCCATCTGCTGGTCCATTCCCCAAATGTCCACAACAGCCAGGGATGGGCCAGACTAAAGTCAGGAACTAGGAACTCAATCCAGGTCTCACATGTGGGTGTCAGGGTCCCAGCTACTTGAGCTGTCATTTGCTGCTCCTTTGGGCACTTTAGCAGGAAGACAGAATCAAGAGCACAGCCAAGACTCCAGTCCTGGAACTCTGATATGGTATATGGGCATCCCAAGCGACACCTTAACTGCTAGGCCAGCTGCCCCCTAAAATTAGGATTTTAGTACGAAGCTAGGATGGAAGTAATTGAGAATTGTAGTATATACTTCTTATTTGGGTAGGCACTCAAGTGTTGGCTGATGCTTAGCCTCTCAGTTTGTGTGACAGTTACCCACCGTTCCTATGGAACATGAAGTGTGTCTGACTCTAAACCATCAAGTAGGGCAGTCATGAGATATTTACAAATATCATACACCAGCCAAGTGCATTAGAAAATAAACTTCCATATGCATCTTCTCTCCCTTTGGGAACAAGTGCAGTTCAAAAATTGCATCTGTGCTACTATTAATGGAGAAGTAAGGTCTTCCAATCTCAGCATATTCATACCTCACCAACAAAGAGTATAATCTCAGCATTTTGGGGGTACTTGGAAAGAACAAGTTAAATGTGTTTGAAGCTCACATGCAGTCCTGTGAAAAATTACTCACTCATAGTGGAGGATAAAGGACTCAGATCAATAGGGCTCTTAGAGTTCATTCCCAGCCTGAGTTGCCCTTTCCACCTCCATAGCACAGTCAGGAATCACTGTGTGTCACACCAGCAGAGAGTGGGCCTGAATGGCCCAGACCCTGGCCAGGCTCAGCTCATCACAACCAACAAGATCAGACTGCTCACATTATAAAATGTATGTCTTGTCTTTCCAGTGTTCTCATTTCTTGATTCTCCTCCCATAGGTGCAGAAGTCTGGCACGCCACAGTTTGTAAGTAGTTTTCTCTGAGTTCTTACCTGGGAACATTTTATAAAATTGCCTAGAAAATGAATAGTTGAACCTTGAAAGACAGCTTCATTCACTGCATTCCTTATTGTAGAACTGTTTCCCTACAGCCTAGTAATAGAGAAGGAGACATTTCTAAAGTCGTACCCAGAACTGCCTACACCAAGAGCAAAGATTCGACTGTCAATCACACTTTGACTTGCACCAAAATACTACCTACCAGCTATTTGTCAAAGGTTTGAAGAGCCACAGATTTTCTTAATTCTTCAGAAAAACTAAGTTTTAGGTAGCTGTTAAGTATAAACCCTACCCCCAAGTAGAAGCCCAAAGCAGCCACGCTGCATTTGTATGCTGTCCCTGGACAGACATGAGGGTCACTGGGTATATGTCTCTGGGCCATGGGCCTGTAGCTCCTCCACTCCTCCCAGCGTGGCTGCCCCCTACCCCTTCAGACCCCTTCAGGAACATGGAGCACTGCATCAGAGCCCAAGTGCAGGTGGCTCTCCCAGAATGAGTGTCACTTGGACAGAGTACATCAGGTCGCACTGTGTGTCCGTTCGTTTCCTCATTGAGAGCTTGCACTGACAGGCACAGCACTACCACAAGGGATCCACCTGGGACCAAAGCAAGTTTGGTCTGTCCCCTCACGGGGTTCCAGGCTCCTAAACGTTCCCTGGTGCCCTCTGGACAGTTTGCCCGTGAGATTTTCCCTGCAGCCTTCCTTGTTCTGACTGCGACTTCTTTTTAGAGCCTGCCATTTGTTGCGAGGTTGAATTCTTCCATGGGCCCCGGGCGAACTGTCGTCATCAAAGGAGAAGTGAACACAGGTGCCAAAGGGTTGGTATCATCAACGTTACCGGTAGCAGTGCCAGTGCTTTCCACGTGTGCCTGTTACCGCCTGATAGCCCCTAACCTCCTGTGAGATAGAAGTCTAGCGTCAGATCCTCATTAGAAAGGCGAGACTGTTAAAGCAGGAAGACGTTCAACTGCTAACAACTACGTGGTGCAGAACCCGGGACTAAAGTCCCGGGTTCTGACCTGCGCCTTTTCTAGCCACGCATGAGGATAGCATGTTTGTCCACAAGGCCCGCCCTTGCCTTGTGAGCTCTGGGGCAGCCTCATAAATCAGGCAGCTTTTCAGGGCAGCTCTTTTCATGTGACTTACAACATTTCTGCTTTAAGAACCTTTGCCAGAGATGTCCGGGCTTCTGAAAGCTTGACTTCAGAGCTGTTTCCCAGAAAGCTGCGTGCTTTCAAGAAGAGAGCACCTGGAAATGATTAAAAGAGAGTACCTGCCAGAAAGGGTCCAATTCCTGCAGTCCGAAATAACCATTTAGTTTGGTAGCACAAAAACCTTCGATTTCTGCCCAAGCAGATCTCTGCCTCAACACTGATTTGAAGGTTGTTTTGTATTTTTATTTTCCAAGTAACATGGAATGCTGTCTCAGGAGTTGAGAATCTCACCTATATCCATATGCGTATGTGTTTCATATGTTTGTAACAGTAGCTCAAGTCTGATGATGAAAATTGCAGGAACAGACTATTCACACATTTGTGGTTAAAATTTGTTTTCCCTCCCTCTTAAAAGCTTTAATGTTGACCTGATAGCAGGAAAATCGAAGGATATTGCTCTACACTTGAACCCACGCCTGAATATGAAAGCATTTGTAAGAAATTCTTTTCTTCAAGAGTCCTGGGGAGAAGAAGAGAGAAATATTACTTGTTTCCCATTTAGTCCTGGGATGTACTTTGAGGTAAGATGATATTTTTTGGAAATGGGCCAGGAAAAAGAATCTTGGGAGCAGAGATAGGATAAATGGCCCATTTAAATCAAATCCCAACTCAGGCGGATACTGTGGGCTGCTGTTGCTTTTGTTTCTTTCCTTGGAGGCTGTAATTTGAATGCTCACTTTTATAACATAGGCTGTTGGTATCAATGGCAAAATCAGTAGAGTATCACATTATTTGCATTGGAATTATTTGACATTTGATATATTGAAAATGAGTTATCCCTATATTAAGAATCTGTTTTTATTTTTATTTTTTGAGAGACAGGGTCAGACAGAGCTCTCATCACTGTCTATTGGTTTATTCCCCAAATGCTGGAATGGACCAGAACTGGCTGGGGCTGGACCAGAAACTCAGTCTGGGTCTCCCATGTGGGTGGCAGGGACCCAAGCACTTGAGCCATCACCATCTGCTTCCCAGAGTGTGCACTAGCAGGAAGCTAGAATTAGGAGCGGAATTGGTTCTCAAACCCAGGCACTACTGTGCAGTAAGCATTCCAACTGGCAGCCGACCTCTGGGGGGACTCCTGTCCCAGTGTAATAGGAATCTTGACAGGAACTTTCTCGGGACTGGAGTAACGTGTGTAATCACATGTGGACATGAGGACGTGGGGACCCTAGAAGTGCTTGCTTGTACTATCATCTCCCATCTTGGCTGGCTACAGTTCAGAAGTCAATCCTGTTAAAAACCAGGTACTTCACAAAATTCATGGAAAATAGAATGAAACGTTTAGTTTGATGCTGAAAAATTTTGAAATCCATCTATATGAGGGATCCTCAAAAAGTTCATGGAAAATGCATAGTATGGAAAAACTATTCATGAATTTCAAAAATTTTTGCACCAAAATAAAACTCAAAAATAATTTAATTTTTCCATGAACTTTTTGGAGTGCCCTTGTGTTGATTCAAGGAAAAGTACATTAGACTCCTGGAACTAAAAGGCCTGTAGTCCAGAGACCCTAGTTACGTGCATGTTCTAACGCCTGCCTTGCCCCTTGTGTGTTTCTGGGTCTTTGAACAGAGAAGAGTCTCCTTGATTTGTGGGTGGGGGTGGGTGGCTAGGCCCTTCACTAGCTTTGGTGACACACTGCTGCCCATGCTCACTCAGGCCACTCATTCGGTTCATGCTTGTTCGTTTCACATGCCCTGGACTGCTGAAGTTCTGAAGGACTCACCGGAGTTATTAAAAGCATGAACACAAAGGCTGACAAGAAGATCGCGATTTGACGGCAATATTTCCTAATAACTTTGGGCTTAATGCAGTGCCCCGGCAAATGAAGTGTAGATAGATGTGGGCCAGTCATGGAAGGTTCCCTGTATCTGGTAGATAATGGTTTGGAGTTCAGAAGGCTGAGAAGGATGTGGAAGGCTAATGGTAAAATTGGGTTTTCCAGACTTAGGGCATGAGCTGAAGAAGTCACTGGAGGTAGGAAGTCAGGGCAGGAGTCAGGACAAAACGGGTAACTAACTTGGAGTTCCCTTAGGGAGATAGAGGTAAGTCCTCAAGAAGGATGTTGAGCCTTGGAGGACCCCGTGGCATAGTGGGTTAAGCTGCCACTGTAATGCCAGCATTGCATGTGGGTGGTGGGTTCGTGTCCTGGCTGCTCCACTTGTGATCCAGCTCCCTGCTAATGGCCTGGGAAAGCAGCAGAGGATGGCCTGTGTACTGGGCCCCTGCCACCCATGCAGGAGACTGAAGAAGCTTCTGGCTTCTGCCTAGCCCAGCACTGGCTGTTGCAGCCATCTGGGGAGTGAACCAGTGGATGGAAGACCTCTCTCTGTCCCTCTCTCTCTAACTTCAACTTCCTTTTTTAAAATTTTTTATTTTTATTTTTGACAGAGTGGACAGTGAGAGAGAGAGACAGAGAGAAAGGTCTTCCTTTTTGCCGTTGGTTCACCCTCCAATGGCCGGCGGCTGGCGTGCTGTGGCCAGCACATTGTGCTGATCCGAAGCCAGGAGCCAGGTGCTTCTCCTGGTTTCCCGTGCGGGTGCAGGGCCCAAGCACTTGGGCCATCCTCCACTGCACTCCCGGGCCATAACAGAGGGCTGGCCTGGAAGAGGGGCAACCAGAACAGAATCCGGCGCCCCCACCAGGACTAGAACCCGGTGTGCCGGTGCCGCAAGGCGGAGGATTAGCCTAGTGAGCCGCAGCGCCGGGAGGTAACTTCAACTTTCAAAATAAATAATTAAATCTTAAAAAAGGTCTTAAAACAAGTTATATAACTTAGCTGGGCTCCAAGTTGGGATCTACTATATTAAATTAAAAAAAAATAATAAATTCAGGTAGTGCTGAAAAATATTAAGATAAAAATTAAAATATTTCTCATGTTATAATTCAAATAATGCCATTAAAATTATTTGAATAGGTGAGCCACATTCCATTTTTGTGTGGCTATAGAATTAAAAGGATGTCTGGCTAAAGGGACAAATAGATGGATAGATGAATCTTTCATAGGTACATATCTCAGACTCACAGCCATCTTCATTTGTTCATTTCCTACCTCAGGAACAGTGATTCTCATGTCAGTCACTGTTTTCAATAGTGATAGTCTCCTAACTGCTTCATAATTTATTTTAATTTACTTAATTTATTATTATTATTTTTTTACTTATTAGAGAGAGAGTATACCATCAGAGCTTCTATCTGCTGGTGTATTCCCCTAATGACCGCAATGCCCAGGGCAGGAGCCAGTAGCTCAATGCAGGTCTCCTATGTGTGTGGTAGGAGCCCAGTTACTTGAACCTTTACCACTTCCTCCAACGAACCACATTAGCAGGAGGCCAGAGCTGGAATCAAACCTAGGTACTCTGATGTGGAACACAGGCATCTTAACCATTAAGTGAAATTCCTATTTCTGCATATTTGTTAATGTGCTTCATTAGGACTACCTCGGGGTGGGTGCTGTGGTGAAGTAGGTTAAGCCACCACTTGGGATGTCTGTATCCCATACTAGAGTGCTGTTTTAAGTCCTAGCTCTGCTGCTTCTGACCCAGCTTCTTCCTAGTGCTTCCAGGGGAGGCAGCAAATGACCGCTAAAGTGCTTGGGCCCCTAATACCCACAAAGGAGACCTGGATGGAGTTCCTGACTCCTGGCTTCAGCCTGGCCCAGCCCTGGCTGTTGCAGGTATTTGGGGAGTGAACCAGTGGATGGCAGATAATCTCTTTCTTTCAAGTGGTTGAATGAAAAACGATTTAAAAAATCCCCACTATGCAAAAATTTCATTTAAAAAAAATTTTATTTACTTTAAGACAGTTACAGAGAGAAGTAGAGTCAGAGAGAGAGGTCTTCCATCTGCTGGTTCACTCCCTAAATGACCACAGTGGCCAGAACTGAGCTGATTTGAAGCCAGGAGCCAGGAGCTTCTTCCTGGTCTCCCATGCGGGTGCAGGGGCCCAAGAACTTGGGCCATTTTCTACTGCTTTCCCAGGCCATAGCAGAGAGCTGGATTGGAAGAGGAGCAGCTAGGACTCAAACCAGTGTCCATATGGTTGCCGGCGCTGCAGGTTGGGGCTTCAACCTGCTGTACCACACTGCCAGCCCCCAATAATTTCATTTTAAACAATCTTCTTGCTGTTTCAAATTCACTTACTAGTTCCATCTATAGTGTTTTTGTTTGTTTGTTTTAAAGATTTATTTATTTACTTGAAAGTCAGAGTTACACAGATAGAGAAGGAGAGGGGGAGACAGAGGTCCTCCATCCACTGGTCCACTCCCCAGGTGGCCACAATGGCCAGAGCTGAGCTGATCCGAAGCCAGGAGCCAGGAGCTTCTTCCAGGTCTCCCACGCAGGTGCAGGGGCCCAAGGACTTGGGCCATCTTCTGCTGCTTTCCCAGGTGCACTAACAGGGAGCTGGATTGGAAGTGGAGCAGCTGGGACTCGAACTGGTGCCCATATGGGATGCCGGCACTGCAGGCAGCAGCTTTACCCACTACGCCACAGCGCTGGCCCCTCTATAGTGTTTTTTTTTTTTAAAGTCATTCAGTATTTTAATGTCTTCTGTGACCTCTTTTTTATTAAAATCAAATTTACATTCTTACCATCTGTTTTGTAACATTAGAGGGGAGTGAGGGATTCTGTTGCTTTTTCTCTTATGCTGGGAGTCTTTTGCATGTGCCCTTTTTTATATTTTTTATTTGAGAGGGAGAGCGTGAAACAGAGGGGGAGGAAGGTAAGCAGAGGCAGGGCAGAGAGAGAAGAGGAGGGAGAGAAAATACTTCCATCTGCTGGTTCACTCCTCCAATGCCCTCCATGGCTAGGGCTGGGCTGGGGCCAAAGTTGAGCACGGGGAACTCAATCTGCTGGCTCCCAGGTCTTCATTAACAGGAAGCTGGAGCAGCCCCCCCCCCCCCCCCCCGGGTCGTAGCTCTGCTGCTTCTGATGCTGCAGCGCACTCCTACTCCCTGATTTCCTCCAGCTTTCTCCACTTGTTTGGAATTCACCTTGTGCACTGGCTTGACACACTATAGTAACTACTTGATGGCCACTCCATCTGTTGGGTGCGTTTTTCTTCTGAGCTGTGTAGCATGAGGCTGTGTATCTTGTGTCGAGGTTTCCCGTTCCTCCTGATTTCCCCTGGCAGCCATTTCCAGTATTCCTATCAAAAGAATGGACTCCGTTTGCTTCTATACAGATCCGTGCCCCTTTCTGGCTGCTGGGCATGGGGCTGGGTTTGCGGCAATGCTGGGCTGCTCCTCCCTGCTCGCTCTGAAGCCTTCTTGGGGGGCAAGGAGCACGTGGAAGCACATGGTACAGGGCCACCAAACTGGTCTTTTCAGTGTGGATTGAAAGTAATGGTAGTCAGGGAGCAGGCTGGTGTTGGGAGCAGAAATAAGAAGTGTGAAGAGGATGGCAAAGAGTAGTTAGTAGGCTTCACGTTTTTTCATTGTTTTGAGTTTTTGGCACATAACTAGACAGCTAACACTGAAGATGAGTGTGAACCAAGTTGCCAGAAGGCTAATTACTCCAGGAACTGATCGCACACGTGGCTTTGAAGAGTTGTGAACAAAGTCTGAGGCTGGAATCTGCTGATCTGGGATGGAATAGGGATTAACAAGCAGCTATACAGTCCCTAGGCAAGAGCCTTAAGCTTCTGGAATTTCTTAATTGTCTGCTTGGTCCAGGGTCCTTCTCTGAGGCAGGAAACAGGATCCACGTCTCTTGGATCTTGACCTGCTAGTTGGAATCAGCAACTCTGTGAGCAAGAGCCAGTTGATGAGCAGTTTTCCTATTTTATATTAGAGTTCCCTAGCACAAGTGACAAGGGGCAAGTGTACATTTCCCTGGGAGTAGGGGACAGGATGAGGCTGGGGAAGGCAGCAAGGGCGTCAGCCTGGTGCACCGTGCAAGGTTTCCAGCAGGCAGAAGGTGCCACTAGCAGGTAGCCTCTAATGAGATGAGGCTCTTGGTCATCACAGAAGGGGGGTTCCACAGCAAAGCTAAGAGAATTCTACATATAAAGCACACCAAATGGTTTACTTCTTGGCACTGTGCAATTAACAACAAACATTTTAAAGTAAGGGAAGCCACTAATGGTATGTTTCCTTTCTTTCAGATGATAATTTATTGTGATGTTAGAGAATTCAAGGTTGCAATAAATGGGGTACACAGCCTGGAATACAAACACAGATTTAAGGAGCTTAGCAGTATCGACACGCTGGAAATTGATGGAGACATCCACTTACTGGAAGTAAGGAGCTGGTAGCCAACTTGACTGTTTTAAAAAAAAAAACCAAAATACAAAATGGCTTATGTGATAATGGCCTTATCAAAGCGCATCTCACTGTCACTATATGGTTTATATTGTTAAACTGAGCTTGCACAGTATTAAGTCTTAGGTGTTCTCAGTCCTTGCCAAGCAGTGTGGCTGCGTCTAGCACTGAATGAAAAATTTGGGGCAACAGAACTTAAAGCTAGGAGGCCACTTATCCCCCATCTGCCTCAGCACCTTCTTTTAAAAAATGCATTCAGCAAATATTTATTAAGTGCCTAGAATTAATATAGTAGCTAGCATGTACTGAATACCTACTTGTTTCTATCAGCACTGTGCCAGGGACTGGGATCCATACATAGTGCACAAAACCAGTGTATTCCCTGGTCTCAAGCTTTACTCAGCCGTCTGTCACTGTGCACTGTTGCTGCAGGCGATGCATAATCACACTGGGTCCTTCGGGGCTGTTATATAGCTAGTAAGTTAAATAAATTCACTAGTGTATACAGAAGATCAGTCCTTCCCCCATGACCACCTTCATACCCAGTGTTCTACCACAGTCCACAACTGAGAGGCTTGATGTTCACTTACCAATGGCAAATAATTTTCGTTCAGCATAATAAACATCTCTAGCTCTAGCTGTAAGCTTTCCCAGATCTGAACTCAGCACAAAAACCAAGGCAAACACACACACACACAAACCAAAAAAGCAACTGGTACTGACAATAACTTGATGTCAAGCTCAATGCAGCAGATTTCTGTATGCTGAACTCTGAGTGTAAGGCCTGCATGTACTCCTATAGGAAGTTTAAGGCTTACGTCAGATGAATTCAATTTGTAGAGTATTTTTGGTAATGAAGAAATGTTGATTAAACTTATGAATTTATAAAATAGGCACTATCAGAAAGTACAATAGACCAACTGAGAGAACAGTAAAGTAGAACATAAAAATCTGTTTAGCCTGTGTGCAAACCAATACATGCCTCTGCTCTTCTACAGATTAGTCCAGCATCATTAGTAACCGAGATCAAAACATTGTTCTGCTTTAAGTGATTGAACTCAAACCTGTAACAGCAAGTTAAAGTGTAGCATTTCTGTAATTTCTCTATTATTTGAAGTGAGCTGGCACGAGTTCTATGTAAAATCCTTACAGGTCAGATCTTGTTTGAGATTTTGAAGTGAGGGGGGAAAAGGAGCTAAATCAGTCTTTAGTTTTATATAAAACTGCTGGGAAGAATTCTGCCAGGATTAGGAATATTTTTGTAACAAATTTTGGGTAAATGTTTTTTATAACCATATCTTGAAAAGAATACAATCAGTATAATTATTATTTTTTAAAAGGACTCAGTGTAGAAATGTCTAGCCCTCACTCCTTTTCCCAGTTTTACATGTTAATTCTCATTACGTAGGGTCTTTCCAACCTCAAAAAGACACTGGGTAGAGGGCATGCAGGGTACCGTGCAGGAGGCCCTACAATCCCCTGGGGTTATTTTTTTTCATAAAGAACATCAGAATGCATGACCGAGATGCTGAAGATTATAAGGGAACTTCAAAGAGTTCATAGAAAATGGAATTAAAAGATAAACTTATTTTGGTGAAAACATTTTTTAAGTCTACGCATGTGAGGCACTTAAGAGAAAATAAAACCCTACTATTTACTTGAAAGGCAGAGTAATAGAAAAAGAAGAGGAGACAGAGAAAGAAATATTCCATCCACTGGGTCACCCTTCAAATGGGTGCAATAGCTGAGACTCAGCCAGGCCAGAGCCAGGAGCTTAGAACTCCATCCAGGTCTCCCAGGTACCTGGGCATCCTCTGGGTCAGGGCTCCAGGTACTTGAGCTATCTTCTGCTGCTTTCCCAGGTGGATTAGCAGGGAGCTTCCTAGATTGGAAGCAGAGCAGCGTGGACTTGAACTGGAGGTCCGATATGAGATGCTAGCATCACGGGTAGAAGCTGAATCTGTGTCACAGTTGGCCCCTCCTGCAAGTCTTACAAAGTTTGTTTTCATCTTTGTTTTAAATAAAGTTACAAGACTGATTCTTTGATAGATTAAATGTTAAAGGTTTTTCTTAAAAAACTCTTTGTTAATATTTATTAATGTTATTGAGATATTTCTTAAGGAGAAACAGGCATTTCTAGCAAGCTCTATCTCTAAACTTCAATTCTGCATTAGATTTCTATGTTATATTAGATCAAAGGCTCTCCAAACTCAGTGTGAACATTCTGTAGGTTAGTTCTTACATGCCTTAAAAAAATCAAGGCAGATAAAATTTTTTGAAGATTTATTTATTTGAAAGAGTTAGAGAAGGAGAGGCAGAGAGCACTTCCGTCCTCTGGTTCACACCCCACTTGGCTGTGATGGCCAGAGCTGTGCTGATCTGAAGCCAGGACCAGGGGCTTCTTCCAGGTCTCCCACAAGGGTGCAGGGACCTAAGAGTTTGGGCCATCTTCCACTGCTTTCCCAGGCTACAGCAGAGCTGGATCAGAAGTGGAGCAGCGTGGCAGGTCTTGAACCAGTGCTCATATGGGATGCTGGCACTGCATGTGGCGGCTTTACCCACTACGCCACAGCACCCAACCTGCAGACTGAATTTTGAGCCCTCCCTTTCCAGCTTTTCCATGACATAGTAGTAGACAATAGAGATCTTCAAAGCATTAGGAAAAAAAGCTACTGAAACCACCTCAAACAATTAACCACCTATGGAAACATGAACCCTCTAAATCCTGGAGGGGCACCCTCATGCCACCTAGTGTTTTGGGGCCCTTTCTGTTTGACCACCAAGTATGGGTTCCTTCATTAGCAGTCATATTAACCCCCTCCCCCAAGATGAAAGGATAAAGGAGGCAAACATAACCCTGAGTAAAAATGCATCCCAGAACTCTCTCTGTGGCACACATACAAATTAAGGCCTAAAGTGTCACTTTCCTTAGATGAAGAGTAAAACTTGAAGCCGAGAGTTAATCTGAATGAAATCTCTGACATGGACCCCGTGTACATATGACACTGCTATAAAGAAGAGTTACAGTTTTATACTCAAAGTGTCAGCTTGGGGCACTAAATCAAACATATTAATTACATCAGTCAGGAAAGACTAATAAAAGTTGAGACACACAAAGCAAGTTGTATGAAAATATTATGTTATTTACTCTTTAACTCCATACCCCTGGCATGGAGGTTCTGTGGAACACGAATCAGGTGGGAATTTTGTAAAGAAGTCATTAAATATTTATTAAGTAGTCCAGGCAGGTGTTAAGGCACCAAAAGTAACATGGCACCAAACACCCCAAAATAAAAATATGAAAAATAAGTCCAAACTCCAAACAGAGTGAGAAATATCAAAACTTTTAGAAGTAGCTCTGGAGTGGCTCTCCCAGAATGACTTCGAGCTGCTGAATAGTCTTTTGGCACTGATGTTCTACTTCTTCACATTCATCTAAAACAAACAAAAAATAATCAAAATTAAAATCTGCATCAGGCAGTCACCCTGCCTCAGTTGCCACTCGCCTCTCCGTGTCTTCCGTTCTCTGCTCAGTCAGTCAGGAGGTGAATGGAAGCGCAGCGCCATGAGATGCCGCCTCTGCCTTCCAGCTTCCTTCCTCCACTCCCTCCTTGTAGCAGGCTGACACTTGGAAGCCAAGTAAGATAGAGCTCCCCAAACGGGAGACAAACCAAATTCAAAAGCCCTCCCATGCTGCCTCCTGAGTAGTTCACACAAGCTCCTCTCTAGCTAGAGCAGTGTATCATTAGTGACAAAGTGCTGATCTACCTGCCCCCACAATTTTAGGGCCATGTGGTATAATGCTGAACATGTGAAGATGAAACGATAGATGTAAAGCACTGAGTACTGAATAAAGAGTGGATATCCTATCGCCTCCTAGTGGCCCTAGGCATTTTGATGAACATATCTGGGCACTAAACTATTCAATCACATAAACATGAAGCTTTAAAGACAGCAGTCTGCATGATCATTCAAACAAATATAAAGAAAGTGAAGATCATACCATGAACAGTCATAAATTATCACAGGGTCATCTCCTGTTTGATCTACCACACTCAAAACAGGAAGGAGCCTGCTCCCAGGTGAGACTAAGAAGGGCAGGCGACTACCCCTGACGTGCTCATCACATGATCCAAAAGGACATTATCACTGGGCACATTTCACGGAACTGATTATTGTCTAATAGCTTGGGAATTACCTTCCATCAATTCTGCTAAGAAAGGAATGGATTCAGGCAGCAGGACAATATAATTTTCCTTTAGTTTTTCAGCCAGTGCTAACACAGTAATCAAAGCTGCAAATCGAACCTGAAAGGGAAATAAAATAGTAAAGAATACAAAAGTAGTTCTATGTACTTACTGCTATAATTATGATCTTAAGACCTCTACTGACTTGAGATGTTCTTTTTATACTAAATGCTATTTCATGTATGTTTATTTTGCTCCATTATGTCCATTCAACTTTCACCTCAGAATACCAGTTCGTGGAACCATTGGGGATCTTTTGTAACATGTGCAGCCTTAAAAATCTGTTTTTCAAACTGTTCCAGGACTTGATCATTTTAATATGTATGTCTTTCTATATTTCCTTTAAGAAAACAATAAAAAGCTACATGCAAACTCAAATGTGTCATCAATTTAACTGCCCTGGCTGTATCTGCCAGGACTCCACTTACAGTTGCTGAGTTACCACGGGAGTCGTGTGAATGGTCAGGGAACCCTCTTTGGTTAGGCCCTCATCTCAGCACTCAATGAAAACCCTGTATGTCATGATGTGTTATGTATTGGAATTTGAGGTGCTGTTGACAATTCACTTTGAAATAGAAGCCCTATTACCTCTCTACTTTTGCATAGATTAAAATTAAATACATAGATACTGTAAAGTGAGATGTTAAAAAATCATCTGTAACCACTAATATTCAAATGGGATTTTCTTCATTTTGTACAACCAAAATATTAATTTGATGCTGCAAATTTTATGGAAACCCATGGCTAAATAAGTATGTGAGGAGGTTGGGCACCAAAATAGCCTCATTGCTTCCACTTTCTAATACTCTGAATTTGAACCAATAAATCCTATTAATAAAATTCTGCTTTGGTGTTTTATCCATTGAGGTTACAATATAATAATTAGTTTCAGAAACGACAGTCCTCAAACATCTTGACACTTACCTGCTCTTACTTATAGAAGAGAACCATAAACCTGCTAAAAACATAATATGAGTTGTTGCTCTCACTCAAGCCTGTTCTGTGGGCAAGCTGAAAGCATTCATCTTAGGAGCACAATGACACTTTGAAAACACAACTCAAGTTTATGCTATTCAATTTTTTTTTTTTTTTTTTTTTTTAATTAAAGACAAGAGTTCCCATCTGCTCATTCACTTTCCAGATGCTGCCTAAGCTGAGAGTCAGGAACCCAATCCAGGTTTCCCACATGGGTGGCAAGGACCCAACTACTTGAGCCATTGCCTGCTGCCTTCCAGGGTGTGCATTAGCAGGAAACCAGAATTGGGAGCAGAGCTGGAACTTCAACCTGGGCACTCCGATATGGGATGTAGGCATCCTAACTGGTGGTTTAACTACTATAACAAACACCCACCCAGGAAGTATTTCAGTACTTGTGTCTAATACTCTACTGGGTGAGGAGAAGAGGGAAATGCAATTAATTATAAATAGTCCATAAGCAAAACCCCAATATTCCTTAGGCTCAAATTTCTGCCTGATAGCAGACCTGACCTTTCATACCAGTATTCTTTCCTGCTAGTTTCCCAAGGGCCTACATCCATGACCGCTTACAGGCTGCTAGGACAACACTGAGCTTGTCACCTCTATACAGTTCCTGACCTTGGCTGAGGAGTCTCTTGTCTTTAGCAGAATTTGGTAGTTGAGCGGTTTCCAGAGAGAGTCATCTGCCATGGCCACTGAAAACTGCGCAATGCATGGTATCAGGTGCTTTGTTACCCGTTCCTGGAACTTCTCATCTCCTCCAAGCCTGTTTCCCAGCTATGAAAAGGAAGACAAGGTATTAAAGCAACGAGTCTTAGTTTTGCTTCTGTCTGAAAAAATACCCAACATATCCATAACAGTTTACCACCCTTCATGATAGGCAGGCTAAGAAACTAGGTCCTATTCTAGTATTTTCTTGAGCACATAAGTATTGCCTTCTGGAACTTAGAATCTCAGAGCCCTGGGCATCAGCCCTTGCCCTTCCACAGACATTCTCAATGAAGCCCAGTTGAAAAAACACAGGTACATTTTAAAAATTAAAAATGAACCATGAGACTTTATACAATGTCTTCTTAAAAAATTCAAAAGTAAAACTCAAAAAATGCTACAATGAAGTTATATCCATGGAAACTCAATTTTGAAATCCATCCTCCTTCTTGGCCGGCGCCGTGGCTCAAAAGGCTAATCCTCTGCCTGCGGCGCCAGCACACCGGGTTCTGTCCCGGTCAGGGCGCCGGATTCTGTCCCGGTGGCCCTTCTTCCTGTCCAGCTCTCTGCTGTGGCCTGGGAGTACAGTGGAGGATGGCCCAGGTGCTTGGGCCCTGCACCCAATGGGAGACCAGAAGCACCTGCCTCCTGCCTTCGGATCAGCGCGGTGCACTGGCCGTGGCGCGCCGGCTATGGCGGCCATTGGAGGGTGAACCAATGGCAAAAGGAAGACCTTTCTCTCACTGTCCGCTCTGCCTGTCAGAAAAAAATTTTTAATTAAAAAATAAAAGAAAAAAGATATCCATCCTCCTTCCCAAAACAGCAAGCCACGCAAGGTGTCATTTCCACAGATGTATAGCTTGCAGAGATGTGGCAACGTTGGCTTCCTTATAACAAAAAACCTTTCTGCGTGGTTACCTGATCCACCAGGGGCATCATCAAGGCTTCTGCTCTCTCCTTGCTTATAAAATGCTGAGTATCAAAGAGGAAGATTTTATATAAACAGTTCAAAATGAACTGCAGTAGCAAGCAGCACTTTTCTGGATCATTTTCAGAATCAAAAAATGCTTCATCTGTAGATAAGAGTAAAAAGAGGAAAAAAATAAGGCCCCGAATTTCACAATTTATTCTCCAGTGTTTAAATTAGAATCATTGTTGACATAACTACAATCAGAAGGGTATTTCTAAAGTGACCTGGAGATCATAATTGGGAGGCAAGCGGAACACAAAACAGACAGTCTTTCAGAAAAGATTCCTTTTTCTAGAGCTGTTAAGATTCAAATCCTCAGTTTGTCAAGTTAAATCACCTCCACTGTCATGTAAATCACTTATTATCATTAGAGAATAAACCGACTTTAATGTTTTAAAATTACTTCCAATAACTGCCAGTAATGCACATTGACTTTATTCTTTCTCCCAAGTGAGTCAACTTACTAAGAACATTTTTCCAATGTGCCAACAAGCAGTTCAAAGTCCAATGACAGTAAAGTAAAATTTATGCTCCTTAGCCTAGAACTCAAGATCCTACAAAATCTTGTCTCTCAGCGTGAGGCTGTGCCTTTATGTTTACTGTACCCTATGTAATGCACACAGAGAAAAGGGGTCAGCTGGAATGAACAAGCTACCAACCTGTTTTGGAGATGTTCACCTGGTTCAATGTGTCTGCAAAAGGCTTCACTAAGTGGCCAGCAAACAGAGTAAAAAGTCCTTTTAGTTTATCAGCAATGCAATCTGCCAAGTTGTAAAATGTCAACAGTCTGTCCTTAGGGGCATCTTCTGTTTTAGCCCAATCAAAGAGCTGGAAGGGTAACACCGTATTAGTTTCTTCTACACATCTTGTCACTTACAGCCGAGCACAGAGGAATTAGCGCAGAAGTTTAAAGCCTCACCTTGAAGAACAGAGGTCTGAAAGTGACCTCAGAAAGTTTTACGACCATGGCGACTAGACAGGCAACAATACAATTTTCTGTTTTTCCAACTTCCTCCAGATCATTCTGAAAGTGGCAGAGTTCATTTATTAGTCTTGAGGTCTGTTATTTTGGCAAGTACCAATGTTAAGCAGCTGGATTCTTCTTTGGCTCTTAAATAGGTGGATAGCAACTTACCTCAGAGTGCTGTGCCCGGAAGTCCAGAGCCTCCAAGAAAAACGAGGTTAGCTGAGACTGATGGGAGGTGAGCTCTTCCTTCTTCATCACCCCAATATGCTCTTGCAAGATGCTCATAAATGGACCCATGTGATTCTAACAATAACACAGTCAAGAGAGGTGCCATTTTTTAATTATTCCTGGAGTTCAGCAATGCATTGTCAAAGGAATTAAATAACCACATTCTTCAAATAAAATTTAAAAATTTCAACCATCTCTCCCTTTTCCAAAGTCTAATACCCAATATGATCTAACCTTCCAGTTCTTCTCAATCTGCTTGTAAGTTCTGTTGATGGCTGGCAGCAGGACTCGTGGTGAGAGTGTGGTTGCCAGTGTCTTTTTAAGAGACGTGAGTCGGATATTGGCCTGGGAGGTAGGACCCATCTCACTAGTGATTTTCTCCAGATGAATCACCTTTGTGAATATAAAAACCAGTCATTATAGATCCTGACAAGCACACACAGAATGGCTTAGTCAATTCAAATGCTAGTGTTTGGGAAATACTGAGTGCAATTTAGCCACACATATTTCCTTGAAAAGCCAATCCTGAATATTTGCAGATGACACCAGGCAGAAGCCTCTTTCCTAATTGGGAGCCAGGGAGGAGGGTAACTGGCAGATACAGAAGCCCACAGAGTACGCAGACAGATGGTATTTATCAGAGGACAGGAATCCAGGGACCGAAGAGTCGCGTTCTTGGTGCTAAAAGTAGTTGAGGACTGTCCTGAGCACAGGGCCCTTTCTGTGAGGCAGCTGCCTTTAAGCCCTGGATATGGAGTTTGTGAATCTGTTAAACTTACTTGCATCTTGGTAGTCAGGCTTCTAATATCTTTAATGGCAAATGATCAACACAACAGAACAGTGATAACAAGAGGAACAGGGACCAATATTCTTGGGCATTTTCAATCAAACGCCACTTGCCCCAGTGTGTGAACAGGCGATCAGTGACATGCAGTACAGAAATTCCACTATGCAAGCTGTTTTAGGATTAACAAACTTTTCACTTTGAAACAAACATGGTAAACCAGTTCCCACAAGCAGGAAGACAGCTCTCCCAGCCCAATTCCAAAGATCTCACAGAGGAAAAAAAAAATGAAGCAATGAAACATCTTCCACACAGTTAACAAGTGACCCCCATATCAATGTCAGGATTACATGGAAGGAAAGACAGAAGAGAAAAAGAGGCACACTGAGCAAAAACCAGCATGTTTTCAGCAGCTAAGAATCTTTTCTGTCAAACAAATTACAGCTTAAAGAAATGAAACCAGTCAATTTGTCATCACACCCTTTTCCCATACCCCACCATTTTCAGGACTTACCTGGGACAGAATGCCTTCTAGGTAGGGGCTGATGAAGTGTGGCAGGGTCTCAACAACCTTCTGTAGGGCGGCCAAGGCACTGAGCAGGTAGACCTCACTGGAGACAAGCTCGCTGGTGTTTTTCATTGTTGTCAGCAATGATGGCACCAAACTAGAAATACGGAAAAAGAGTTTCAGAGGAACTGTAAGCAAAAACAGCCTGGAGAATGAAGAAGTCTTTATCTCACTGTATGCATGTTGTCTCACACTGTCTACAGATTTTATGTGACCAAGTGCAAGAAATCTCCCCGTCCCAATAGTACCTATACACTAGCAATTTTTAAAAAGAGCAATATCTTTCAACTGAATACCTGTTATGTTAGGCACTGTGCAAAAAAGCCTCACAAACACTGCCCTACAGAAATCCAACCAGATGGGTAATGTTTCCGTTTTATAGGTGGCAAAGCTCTAACAAGTGACGTGAC